TGGTAAAGATGTCGCCATCACTTACCGGGTAAGACTCTCGGTTCGTGCCTTCGCTCTTACCAGTTAAGATTCTTGGTCCTTGCCATATTCATCCGTGTAAGGAAATGTGACTTGATAAGTGCTTACCCGAGTAAGCATTTGGTAAACGGCCCATAAATCTCGGATTTGGATCAACATGCACTATTTTGAGGTCCATAATTGGTCGGTTCATCCATCATTATCAATGGTGAGAACGGTGGTCCCCCAGCCACTCGAAACTCAAATAAAACAAAATAATCAACTCGAAATACGATTATGATATATAATGTAATAATTAGTTATTATAGGAGAGATAATTATAATTATAATATATAATTACTTTTATTCATATCAAGGATCCAACCTGATTTCATGCCTCGAAACATAACCAACACAAGTTAAGGATTATTGGGTAGTCCTAGGGACCGAGTGGATTGGTCCTAAGAGAATCAATTATATATTGGGGATTCTTTTCACACTTGGGCTGTGCAAAGGCCAGACTAGTTGGGCCTCTGAATAAGGACCGACTTGGCTTTAATGTGCTCAGAGAGTCAGAGTCTCGTACCATGAGCGACATGAGTTAAGGACTGAGTAGTCCTAGGGACCATCAAGCCTATGACTGATTATTCAAGAAGATTGTGCTGGTATGACCTTCGCAATTCTGCTAAAGCTTTCTTACAACACCATTAATGGCAGGTTGAAATGCTTTTTTGCTAATAGTTACAATCTAGCATTTAAAGAAAATACAGCTGCAAGAACACATGACATCCAATAATTGTCCTCCTCTCTTTAACTACTATTTAATGATTCAACAGGGATCACCCACTAGCCAAGTATTAAGGAACAACTCCTACCAACATATTTGATATATACACAACAGTAATTATAAATTTCACTAGCAGAGGGACAAATAAACATAAACTAATGGTCGACATTGATGATAACAAAATGGGCATCTTAAGGAAACATATGGATTAATCCAAGCCCACATTCATCCAAGTGCTAAGTGCTACCTTTTGATCATAAACATTTAGCATATATAGCTCAATCCAGCAAGCAATCCAACCCCACATTCGTCCAAGTGCTAACTGCTATCTTCTGATCATAAACTTTTAGCATATATAAACCAATCCAAGCCCACACTGTCCAAGTGCTAAGTGCTAAGTGCTATCTTTTATCTTAAACGTCTAGCATAGCTTGCTCGATCCAACCAGCAATCCCAGCCCATACTAACCTATTAGTAACTCATTTGATTCAAGTAATTCAAGAAAGAGATCAGGATTTATAAAGTGATTTAGATCTTAAATTCTCTTCCAAGTTGGGACAAGACTCCCACATTGAAGACTAACTTCAACATTTTCAAACAGATAAATTCACACTTAAGTTTAGCTCTAAATGAAACAACTTGGGTTGTACAGATCTTTTGATTGGTTGGCCCTTAATTTTAATGTTCTTATTTGATTGTATAAAATTCTCAACTTTAAATAGATGTTACCGTAAGAAGAATCTTTTGATGGAACTTCTTCAAATTAAGTTGATTGGGATATATGGCTTATGTCGTCGGCTAACTTATTGAATTTCTCAACCTAGTATGGGTTAGGAACAGGGGGCTCAAAATTAAAGCCAAAGAATACACAAATGGATTTGGATAGTGAACAGGATTGAACCCCAAACAATTTCCTTGGGTATAATAAAGCATGTAAGGAAGTCCCATGGTTCGGTAGTACATGCATGTTTGGTGTGAAAATTATACAGAACCAAATTTTTTCCAATCCTGTCACTACCAATTAAGAACATGTTTAGCCGTTTCTTCATTTTCCTCCTTACAATCAAATGGAAAAAAGGCTTGCAATTGCTGTTCCCTTGCAAAAGCCACATGGGCCATGTTGGATGATAAGATGAAGCGGCATATGTTGGCACCGATGCCGAAGCCGGATTCACAAATAGAATCTTCGTGGGTAGTTAACAATTCCATTGTGATCCCATATTCCATTGGAATGCACTAGCTTGCTTCTAGCTACAGAGGTTTGTATATCTGTATAATGCTTTCGATATAGAATATGTTACAGTCAAGTAATCAACTCTTCGGTGCATCGCATCAAATTGATTTTGAAAATATAAGAATGGAAATGTACCATGACCAATGTCTATCAGCAGACCATATAATGTTAGTTGACAAATCCATTTACTTAATATTTCCCATTCAATTGATCTGATTTTGAACTCTAATCATTTAGAATTGCGTAAGGTTGTAACTTATAAAAACCATATGTTTCATATCAGGCTTCTGAAATCGTTCTTTTGACATGCTGTAGGATGACCTCAGCATACAAATATGGTTGCTCCTTATGCAGGTAATATTTTCCACTTATATTTCCTTGGTATCTTATCATGGCTTAAAGAAGATTGATCATACAGGCTTTCTTTTTCACCTCTGTTCTTCTGCGTTTTCAATTCTCTTCATCTTTAGTGTATCAATTACAACAAATAGTGCCTGAACTAAATAAGGTTTTCATTTCCCCCCTCTATTAAATAGCATGTGTCTTTAGGTGGTGTTATACGAGAGTTGAAGGTAACTTTATTTTGTTTGCTTCTAGAAAATGACCATGTGCAAGATTTTTTATGTTTTAATGGCGGCTCAAAGTTGATCGATTTGGCAAATGATCGAGGAAATTTGTGCAAACTCGTGAACTTAAGATTTACAAGATGAACTTAGTATTGGAAATCAGTATTTAGTGTTAGCTCTTTGTCCAAGATGAATGTTCAACATGCTTATGTATACACACATATTATATATATATATATACACACACACACATATACGTATATTTAATATAAGAGAGAGGTTCATTTAGGAACCTTAAATTATTTTCGGGACCCATGAACCACTATTTTTGTGAGTATTCGTGATAAAATATTCAAGATGAATGTCGTGACAGAATATTTCTTATGAATATTCACAAAATAGGTGGTTCTTCGGTTCCTAAATGAACCTGCCCCTATATATATGGATGTATATGCCTTTGTGTGTGTATATATATATATATATATATATATATATGTAGCTTATTGATGGGTATAGTAATGGCCTTCTGTTACAAACAGCAATCGTGATGAAAGTTGAGCTATACATACTGGGGACCAAACAACGTAGACCAGATAGCTCTCATTCAAGTTACTTATTTTATATCCTTAGTCCCTGGAGTCAGGATCATTCCTTAACTGAACACATATCCTCCTCAATGTTACTTGGATACCAGCTTTTGGCTATTTTGTTTGTGTACTCGTGGAACATATGTGGTCCTATTTTGCAGATATTGAAGAGTAGTTTGAAAGGATAAATGAGGACATTGAAGAGTAGTTTGAGTGGCTCCTTCGAGGATTCGCTCATAAGCCCTTCTTGTCATTGTTGTTGACCTCCGATGACTTCATGCACAATTGTACTGCTAGCAATGATTGTAACAGCTACGGCCTTTGCTCAAACCATCAACATTCTTAAGGCGGTCACATAAGCTTCCAGATTCTTCTAAACAACGGTGAAACACATCAAATTGCTTCTCCACAACGATGATAAATTGTTGCATTTTCCTATGTTCATTTTTCTTAGTTTTCATATTCTTATCATAAGCTGTATTGAAACATAATCTTTTGCACTTTCTCCAAGATAATTGATTGGATGCTCCCAAATTGGCAAAAGTTTTCATACACGTCTCTTGGTTTTGAGAAAGTTTTAGATTACTTGCATCGAGTTTAGTTTCAAAAAAGCACACTTTCATCTCTGAATATCAAATTGTTTTGTTTCTGATTCAACAAATTAAAATTGTGAAAAATATTTAGTTGTAGACTAATAAGAAACCATCTTGGTTTCAAGAATACGAAACTTTTTGGACAAATAGTCTCGTTACTTTTTTTTAATAAACTAAACCATCGAACTTTTAAAAATTAGTTACTTACATCATTTTAACCCAAAACAAAGTTATATGTAACCGACTAGGAATGTTCTAAAATAAACCCAAAACAATTTTACCATTCTCATATCTTATGATATTCAAACCCCAAACACTATATCACTCCCCCTCGTCGCTCCTCATCGCCCCATCGTTGTCTATTCTACATATCGCCTATCACGTTGTTGCCCCGCCATTGATGATAGATAAAAATAAATCAAAAAGAGGGAGATTGATAGTATGGGCCAAAAGTGTGATAGAGATATGGAGAACAAACAATGATGGGGCGACGAGGAATGGCGAGGGAGAGTGATAACGGCGTTTGAGTGGGGTTTGAATGACACAGGGTTTGAGAACAGTAAAATTAATTTAGGTTTCATTTTACTTTAAAATATTTTTGGTCAATTATATTAAGCTTTTCTTGGGTTAAAATGATGTAGGTAACCAAATTGGCAAATTCTAAAATTTTAATGGTTTTTTTTGTTGAAAAAAAATGTTCAGGGATTTATTCATTTAAAATGAGAAAGTTTCAAAAAAAAATTCATTAAAAAAATAGTTGAAGGACTTGATCATTATATATAAGAAACATTAATGATTTTTTTATTAAAAAAATAGTTGAAATAATTGGTTCGGTTTTTATAAATTTATAAATCACAATAATGTTTAGGCCATTTTTAACCATTCAATAACTAATACAACTCAAAACTAACAACCGCAAATTGTCAATGCAACTAAAATTATATATTTAATACATATATTATATGTCTTCAATATTACATATTAATGATATACAAATGAGTTTATGACCAACGTAAGACACAAGGAAATAAACTAACTGATTAAATTATTTCTAAGCTTTAATAACAACATGATTCCAAACATGCATATATAAGATAATTCAACATAGCTCCATCCCATCCTGCATCATAAAGTTTTAGAAAAGAAAAATAACAAGCATTAATTGTGTTGACATTTATAGAAAAGAAAACATGCAAGGGAAACACGTACCTAATCTCATTTTCCAATCTTGATGATTTATCTTCTGTTGTTTTGCCTTCTCTGGATCATTTGCTCTATTTCATCAACAATTGCATTCAACCACTTTGGCCAACCTGTTGACAACATGAAATATCCCAACAACAATCCGACTAAGGTTCCACATCCATATCCCAACATCACCACTTTCCATGTAAATACACTCTCTTCTTCTCCATCAACTTCAAGCTGTGGGGCACTTGCATGTTCACACTCCTTGGGCAGCGGAAACCCACATAGTCCCGGATTCCCTTCGAATGAAGTGTTGAATGTACTCAACTGTGTTCCACCAGGAATACGTCCCACCAGAAGGTTCTGCGAGAGATTTAAGACTTCAAGACTCGTGATGTCTGCAAGACTTTGAGGAATCTTTCCGGATAGTTGGTTCCGAGATAGGTCTAATGATTCAATCTCAGAGAGATTACCTATAGCCTGCGGGATCTGACCATTGAGGTGGTTGTTGGATAAGTTGAGCACTATCAACGAGTTAAGAGTGCATATTTCGTTTGGAATCTCTCCTTCAAATTTGTTACCAGATAGATCAACAATTGTGTAGTCGTCTGAAATTTTCTCAAAAAAGAGTTGCTGGCCTTTCACTACAACAGTGATAGAGTAAAAGTCGTAAAGACTCAAATACGTATTCTCGCCATCCTTGACCACATTCTTCATAGCATCAAATTTTTGAAAATATTTTCCAGGGAGTTGGCCTCCAAACTCATTTTGAGATAAGTCAAGAACACTCAAACTAGGAAATGGGTGTTTGATCATAGAAGAGCTTCTTTCCATGGGACCATGAAACTTGTTTGATCTGAGGACAAGGACCTTCAGATTTGGAAGACGTCCTAACTGGTCAGGGAATGCACCAGTTAAGCGGTTGTTTCCCAGATCAAGCACCTCCAAGTATGGGCATTTGGAAAAGCAACTTGGCACCTTACCTTCAAATTGATTTCCATTCAAAATAAGCCCCCATAATTCTCCACCACACACATGTGGAATGGTGCCATTAAAACTATTGTTCCCCATATCTATAACTGACGGAAAGAAGTTAATATCTCTAGCTTTAATCACTCCACTAAAGCGATTATTGGACAGATTCAAATATTGTAGATTGTCCATGTTCCAAATTGATGGAGGGAATGGCCCTGTTATGATGTTATGTGAGAGATCCAAGTAAAGTAGTTCATTTCCTCCTATCTCCTTAATGTGGCCATCGATTTCATTTCTCGATAGATCTAAATATTGAAGTTTTCTCATGGCACGTATGGACTCTGGAAACACCTTTATCTTGCAAGATGCTAACCCCAATTCTTTAAAATTAGGATTGACATAGCGACTGGTATTATTGGGCACAACAGATAAACCACTATATGAGAGATAGAGATATTCAAGGGTCCCGAGCCTTGATAACAAAGTATCTAACTCCCACACACCTCTAAATTTATTATTTGAGAGGTCAAGGTAAGTGATATTCAGGAGTTGAAGAAATGTTTGATGAATGGATCCTTGATCAAGCACATCTAGCATGCCATCGAATTGATTTCCATGAAGGGATAATATCTTTAATGATTGATGGTTGAAAAATTCTGTTGGTAAGCTCCCCTTGAACATGTTGTTGGAGAGAGTGATAGTTTCTAGTGAGGGAAGAGTAAACAACCAAGAAGGCAACGTTCCATTAAGCTTGTTATGTGATAAATCTAGAGTACTAAGGTGCCTAAGATTAAGTAGGGATTTGGGAAGAGGACCCATCAAACTACAATCACCGAGTATTAAAGTATTCAAAGACTTGAGATGGTAAATTAAGTCGGGTATCTGTCCTGATAAGTTGATGTGTGAGAGATCCAAGTAAGTCAAAGACTTGAGATGGCCAATTGAGTCGGGTATCTGTCCTGATAAGTTG